GTTAGGAAGCACTTGCATCTAACCTCTGATAAAGTCTAAGCAGTTCCTTACGATATGTTTTTTCCTACAGGAATGTATTTTATTAATAGAAGCTTCCAAGATGTAACGTTAGAGTTAGGGCAAATGTTGATGAAAGGGAAAGTTTATACAGATGTGTGTTTACTAAAATTTTAAATAAAAATTCACTTAAATCAATTCAACAAATGTTTACTGCACCTCTACTATATAGAAAGTACTTAATTAGATGATGTTCTTTTTTGGCGGGTGGGAAGCAGTATCTCACTCTGTTGCCCAGGCTGGAGTACAATGGTGCAATCTCAGCTCACTACAGCCTCGACCTCCTAAGCTCAACTGATCCTCCTGCCTCAGCCTATCAAGGAGCTGGGCACATGTCACCACACCCAAAGAATTTTTGTATTTTCGTAGAAATGGGATATCTTGCCCAGGCTGGTCTCCAACTCCGGGGCTCAAAATGTCAAAGCAATACTGTAAATGTCAGTGGGAAAATTTTATTAATACTTAAAATTTAACTCTGTACTATTAATATTGTTTTGCTATGGAATATGCTACAGGTTTCATCATGTCTTATTTATTGATGTTCAAAAATGTTTCCTGCTGACCAAATAACTCTTTCTCTTAGAAACACGGGAAGGAAAAATGGGAAAGATAAGCTGAAAAAAGCAAATTGTTCTTAAAATACAACAGCTGGCTGAATTACACTTAATCAATTACACTTTACATCTTACATTGAAATATGGTGTTTAGCAAAGAGACAATAATATTATGATGATTTAATTTTAACAAGGGTTTCTCATAAAACATGTAAAATGTACAATTATGACAATTATCAAGAAATACATGTTGAAATTTTAACCCTCTGGGTTGACAGACTGTGTCATGGTGAAACTTTGCAGTAACAGTAGAGCTAGAAGAAAATGTGAAGGTTATCTTTTAATGCAGCAGTAATTAAGCAGGCAGATGTCTTAACTGTGGTGAGACTGGCCTACTTTTCCACAAGCTAAATATCTTTGCCCATCTGGATGTGGTCAATGACCTACTTTTCTCAATTCTACCGGTATTGTATACTAACTCAAAAAAGTGAAAAGTAATCTACTTATTATGAGATGAAGTAACGCAGTTGAAATGATGTATGATATTTAGCAATTAATCTTACTTAGATTTCGTATATATTATGGGCAAATATACTTTCCTATAAGCAATTTTAAGTCTCAAATGGAACTCCAATATATGACAGAAAAGCAAGCCTAGTGTGAATATATAAACATACATTTTCATTTCATTTTTACATCTTAATTTGACATTTTCTTTTATTATTTTGAGATGGAATCTCACTCTGTCACCCAGGGTGGAGTACAGTGGCATGATCTTGGCTCACTGCAACCTCTGCCTCCTGGGTTCATGCGATTCTCCTGCCTCAGCCTCCCCAGTAGCTGGGATTACAGTCACCCACTACTACATTCAGCTAATTTTTAGTAGAGACAGGGTTTCACCATGTTGGCCAGGCTGGTCTCAAACTGCTGACCTCCAGTGATCTGCCAGCCTCAGCCTCCCAAAGTGCTGAGATTACAGCTATAAGCCACTGTGCCCAACCTTAATTTAACTTTTTTTTTTTTTTTTTGACACGGAGTTTCGCTGTTGTTACCCAGACTGGAATGCAATGGCGCGATCTTGGCTCACCACAACCTCCGCCTCCTGGCTCAAGCAATTCTCCTGCCTCAGCCTCCCGAGTAGCTGGGACCACAGGCACGTGCCACCACACCCAGCTAATTTTTGTATTTTTAGTAGAGATGGGGTTTCACCTTGTTGACCAGGATGGTCTCAATATCTTGACCTCGTGATCCACCCACCTCGGCCTCTCAAAGTGCTGGGATTATAGGCATGAGCCACCGCGCCCGGCCCTTAATTTAACATTTTAAACATGGTTTTGAATCTACCTTCCCTCAGCTGGACACTTTACAAAGATAACATAAATTTACTGTTTCTTATGAAAATTTCAGAGAATGATCTTTGGCCTGAGTCTTAGCCAATGTTTGCATCACCCTGATGTAAAATTGTTCAATATCAGATTTTTACATTGACATTAAACTCAAAATGGATATCTTCCTTAGGCTATTCACTATTATTCATCCTCCATGGAACATTCAATAGAATTTTTTTTCATTCTTCTATATATCCATTCATAAATATACAGCTTTAATGCATGAATTCACCAGAAAAATACTAACTACCTATGCTGTGCTGAATACTTTGTTGTTAAGAGCAATAAACATTACTATCTTGTAAAAGGATAGTCAGAAACTTAAGTGTTTAATAACTTGGATGTTTTGTTATCCTCTAAATATAAAACATAACATAATATTCTGACCTAAGTTCTAAAATTTATATAAATAATCAACAATGTAGTTTGTCTCAGTCAGATAGATTAGGCTATTCTGCAGTAATGAAAATTCCCCAATTTTCCAAAAATTATAATGATGATGATGATATAGTTGCTATTTTGTGTCTGCTACATGTCTATCATGGGTTACTGGGGAGGAATGGGAGAAGTGTTCTCTGTTCATGGTAGGTATTCATGGAGACTAGCTGACATCTGGAACATTGAAGGTCATCAGCAAACTGGGGAAAGAGATGTATGGATGGCCACAAATTAGCAATTAAATGAGCCAGCTCAGTAATAACAAACATCACTTCTATTCACAAGGGAGCAGGTAAATCTGGTCAGACAGTGCCATCCAGCCATATAAAGACCAGAAAGTACAGGCCAATCACATGCATCAATGGGAGAAAAACCAGAAATATTTGTTAAATAACACTAATAACTGAAGAACCAGTAGTAATTGACAAATCGCCCCACTTAATGATCACTGCTCATTAAGTGATCACCCCAGTTCTCTCATACAATATTTGGATCACCCCAGTTCTCTCATACAGAGCATATCTAATTGATGAAGGTGGCTACAGTAAACAACTGATTTTCATGGTACAACAAACAGCCTTCTATTGGAGGTAGATGTCATGGACTTTCATAATTGGAGACCAGAAATTAATGCCTGGCTTTACAGCTTCAAAGGACAGGCTGGCTCTTTTGATGGGGGTTAATACAGCTAGTAACTTTAACTTGAAGCCAATGCTAATTTACTATCTGGAAAATCCTAGGGCCAGTAAGAACCATGCTAAATCTACTTTGTGCTCTAAAAAAGGAACAACAGACTGGTTGCGGTGGCTTGCACTGTAACTGTAGGACTTCGGTAGGCTGAGGTGGGCGGATTACCTGAGGTCGGGAGTTCAAGAGCAGCCTGACCAACATGGTGAAACCTCATCTCTATTAAAAATACAAAATTAGCTGGGCGTGGCAGCATATGCCTGTAGTCCCAGCTACTGGGGAGGCTGAGGCAGGAGAATTGCTTGAACCCAGGGGAGCAGAGGTTGTGGTGAGCCAAGATCGTGCCACTGCACTGCAGCCTGAGCAACAAGAGTGAAACTTCTCAAAAGAAAAAAAAAAGGAACAACAAAGCATGGTTGACAGCACACCTGTTTCCAGCACGGTTTACTGAATATTTTTAATTCCCTGTTGAGTTCTATTGTTCGGGGAAGAACATTCCTTTCAAAATGTTACTGATCATTAACATTGGTCCTGGTCACTCAAGAGCTCTGTTGATACATACGGAGATTAATGATTTCACATCTGCTAACATTTCATTCATTGACAGACCTTGAGTCAAACATTATTTTTGACTTTCAAGCCTTATTATTTAAGACTGTCAGTCTCTGCTCTGCACCATTGTCCCCAGATTATTCATTCAACTGGCATGAAGAAGGGCATGGCAACTGTGGGATTTGAACCCTCATTTAACAAGATATGGGAAGTGAACAGCATTTGTTCGCCATGACTTTAGTTTTAGTTTCACCTTCCAAATTAGGCTTCTATACATTTCTTAAAGTTGTATTTAACTTGTATTTTCAAGAGCATACACAGTAGTAAGAGCCTTTTACAATAGTCACTATTAGCTATCCTGTGGCTGTTAATGTTCATGCTCCTGGAAGATCCTTTCAAATCCCTTTTTGTACCATCTACTTTTTCCTTTCCAAGCATCAGTACTAATGTACAGCTCTCTAGTTCTCAAGCTGCCGAAGCTGCTTTCACCCACAGGTGCAGAGATTTTAAAGCATCTGGGACATCTGGGAATTGATGTGCTCATCCCTCCCAGCGGGGTCTTTAACCAATGACTGAACAGTCTAGGACTATGAAAGTTCACTCCCTTGACTGGTGTAAGGATAACTAGGACATAACTCACTCTCCAGAGTTTTCCAGAGGGATCGGGCTGAAACTATCCTTAGAGGGTTGTTCACCCGAGATTTCATTCTTCCTTGGTGTCCGCTGTATTTCCTCGGATCATTTTCTTACATTAATCAGACATACATCCTCATCTGAGAGCCTATGTCTAGCTTAAGATACACCTATATAGTACAGACGTCACTATCATGCCAAAATATTGCCGTCTGGTGGCAGGGCTAAGAGTATCAGAGTTCTTTGCATTCATGGCGTGACCAAAGTTCTAATGAGAACATTTTCCAAAGTGCAGCAAGTTTCAATCTTCAAAAAACCACAGCGACTTACAGTGTAAGACCTCATGGCAGTGGAGCTCTGGGGCTGGAAAAATGAGAGCAGTCTGGATGCATGCCGCTATGAAGGGAGCAGGTAAGAAGCCTTCTGGACCTCACAGGCTCCCATACTGACGTGATTAGTTTGTCGCCCTCCTTTGCCGGTCAGAGACGAGCAGGTAAGACGCCTTCTGAACCTCACAGGCTCCCGTACTGACATCATTATTTTGTCGCCTTCATTAGCCAATCAGGTTAGGGTCTCTTTGCCGCTCAGCTACGGCTTTCTGCCACCATCCGTCCTCAGCGCAGGCCAGCTCTCTTCTCTGAGCTTTCAGGCGTTTGCTTTTCTAGAACAGCTAGAGCAAACATTGTTCAAAATGTCCCACCAAGAGGGCAACACAGATGGTTTGCCAGACTTAGGGACTGAAAGCCTGTTCAGTCCAGAGGGGCAGTCCGGAGCGGCGGCAGCGACGGAGGCGTCCTCAGACACAGAAATGGCGGCCGCAGAGCCATCCACCCGAGCTGGCGGCGATACCAGGGATGATGGTTTCCTGAACGACGCCAGCACAGAAAATCGAAGCACTGACAGAGAAGGTTCAGGTGAAGACGTGGAACTTGAGATCCTGGATGACTTTGACGGTTACCACATGCTTAGTGGAAACATATTTTATTACTCTTTACTGGGAGAGGAGGAGAGAGAAGGGGAGGAGGAAGGAGAGGAGAGAACGGAGGGAGGGGAGGAGGAAGAGGAACAGCCTCAGGTGTGTCCACGATGCGATGGTGCCAACCATGAGCAGTGTTTGTTAGAGGAAGATAGGGTGCTGGAGGAGTGGATTTCCGCAGAGACATCTGTCCTGCCTCGACCTCGCTGGCAGGTCGTTACTGCTCTTCGCCAGCGGCAGCTGGGTTCAAGTACCCGCTTTGTCTATGAGGCCTGTGGGGCAAGAGCCTTTGTGCAGCGTTTCCGCCTGCAATATCGTCTTGAAGGCCATTTCAGTTCTATTTGTACTGTATGCTTTAACCAGCGTGGTACCCGGCTGGCCACTAGTGGTGGTAACCTAAACGTGACAGTGTGGGACTGGGTGCGGCAGCAGCCAGTACTGAACTTTGAGAGTGGTCACGAAATTAACGTCACCCATGTTAAGTTCCTTCCTAACTGTGGTGATTCCACACTGGCCACATGTGGCCATGATGGGCAGGTACGGGTAGCAGAACTAATTAATGCATCATATTGCGAGAATACTAAGCATGTGGTACAGCACAGGAGTGCCGCTCACGAGTTGGCTCTGGAGCCAGACTCTCCTTTTAAGTTCCTGACTTCAGGTGAAGATGCCGTTGTCTTCACCATTGACCTCAGACAAAGCCGACCGGCTTCAAAAGTTGTGGTAACAAGAGAAAAGGGGAAGAGAGTGGGACTGTATACAATCTCTGTGAGTCCTGCCAATACCTACCAATTTGCAGTAGCTGGACAAGATCAGTTTGTCAGGATTTATGACCAGAGGAGAATTGATGAGAATGAAAACAATGGAGTACTTAAGAAATTCTCTCCTCATCATCTGGTTGATTGTGATGTCCTAACAAACATCACCAGCGTTGAGTACAGCCATGATGGCACAGAGCTCCTGGCCAGCTACGGTGATGGAGATATTTACATCTTCAACTCCTCTGACACTGATGGTGCTGAATATGTTAAGAGATTTAAGGGACACAGAAATAATGACACAATCAAAGATGTTAAGTTCTATGGCCCCAGGAGTGAGTTTGTCGTGAGTGGTAGTGATTGTGGGCATATCTTCTTCTGGGAGAAATCATCTTGCCGGATCATCCAGTACATGGAGGGGAACAGAGGAGGTATAGTAAACTGTCTTGAACCCCACCCTTACCTACCTATGTTGGTGACCAGTGGCCTAGATCGTGATGTCAAGATCTGGACACCCACAGCTGAAGCTGCCACTGAGCTTACTGGGTTAAAAGATGTGATTAAGAGGAACAAGAAGGAACGAGATTTAGATAGCTTACACCATACTGGCATGATTTACAGCTATACGCTTGGGCTTCTCATGCAACAGATGTCACAGAGAGGTCATGACCCTGGCTGGAGAGATCACACAGCTGAGTTCCCAGATGAAGAGTTGGATGAGGCTTCCAGCAACTCAGATACATCTTAGGAGGAGGGCCAAGATCAAGGGGAGTGCTTGCCATCTTGAAGGCCTCATATCCAGTCCAGCTAGATGCCACTTAAGTACACTGGACTTGAAAATTCAGTTTGACTAATTTAGAATTGTCAATAGATTAATAGATTTGCTTGTTGTCTTCTAGTTTTCCAAATATATGCTAAAAACCATCTCTTCCATCTTCTTCCTTACTTTCCTTTCTTCCTTCCACACATTCTTTGCCTCTCATTCCTTTCCTCTGTTTCTTTTGTTACCTGTTGCCCCTTATATGAGTGCATACGCAACTGATTTATGCCTCTTTTTCTTATAGTTGACCTCTAAAATTTCCTAATTTTGTTGAAAAAGTTAATGGCCTTATTAATGTATCTACTCATTTCTAACATTCTGAAAACTATTACATTTTTACTTTTTTCATCTTTTAACAATTTATTTTGAAGTCTTCATTTGTCTCGAAAGGTTCGTAAATGTGTTTATTCTTTAGAGGTAAAATAAAGCAAACCATAATTTTGTTCTTTGAATCCTGACACTTGGCCACACACATACACAGGCACACACACACACACACACAGTCTCAGAAAAGGAAAGAGAAGTAGTATTTAGATTAATTGCTAAAACACACACACACCCATGCAGCCTCAGAAAAGGAAAACAAGAGTAGTGTGTAGATGAATTCCTACCCAGGTAATTCATCCCCTCAGAGCAAATAACTTGGGATTATCTGCATTTTCTGAATCCATACGTTAATCATATTGGTGAATTTTAGTACACTGAAGTTGATAAGAACTAAGTTGAGTTTAATCACATGACATTGCTTACTCTGCACTTTAAATTTTCCTGAAATTTTATGGTTGGGAACTCCCACAGCATTGCATTCCAGGAAGTCCTCCTGGGACAAACATCTCCTATAAGATGCCAGCTAGGAATATAAACATCTCTCATATTTGGAAAAATATATTTTAATTAACTTTTAAGAATAAGTTGCAGTAAAAATTGTTTATACATGCATATAACCATATGATATAGCTGTTAGAAAAATTCTATTTGACATCCATGTAGTACTTAAAATCAGCTGTTTTGAGTTTAAATTGTTTTAAAAATTGTTTTAAGCTTTACTTAAAATTTGACATCCATGCATTGTTAAAAGTTCTCTGAGTTGTTTTATGAGTTTAACTTGATTTAAAAATTGTTTTAAGCTTTACCTAAAATAAATTTAAGTTGCTAGATATCCAGTTACTGTTCAATAAAAATATTTGTTTTTATTTTATAGCTCTTATTTGTGTAAATGAATTCAGAAGATTGCGTTTTTCCTAACACCTGTGAACTATACCACACCATTCTACTTTTTTTTGTTGTTGTTTTTGAGATGGAGTCTGATTTTACTGCCCAGGCTGGAGTGCAGTGGCACAATCTTTGCTCACTCTGCCTCCTGGGTTCAAGCAATTCTGCCTCAGCCTCCCAAGTAGCTGGGTCCACAGGTGTGTGCCACCATGTCCGGCTATTGTTTGTATTTTTAGCAGACACAGGGTTTCACCATGTGGGCCAGGTTGGTCTCAGACTCCTGACCTCAGGTGATCCACCCACCTGAGCCTCCCAAAGTACTGGGATTACAGGCATGAGCCAATGCACCCAGCCTGTACTGCACCATTCTTTGCTGTCTTGTCTTGGAAAAGAAGGATGTAATGAAACATCCTATGTCCTGGCAATGGCTTTTCTTTGGTAATACTTCTTCAGATGAATATTATCTCTCTTTTTTTTGGAAAATGTAGAGTAATTTGCATAATGTGATTAGAATTCAGAATGGAATATAACGACCGAAGTTCCTGCTAACTGAGATCCAAAGCTAGGGACAACTGTCTTCTGGTCTGGGAGCCTCAAGACGCCCCTACCAAGCTCTGCTGTCAGGAAAGGATCTTATAGAGTCCCAAAAGAGAATTTATGGGCCATAAGAAGAGAGTTATAAAGTTGAATTCCAAGCTTGGGGCCCCGTGTATAACTTTATGGGATGTATACCAGCAATAATATTAACAAAACATTAAACAAAACATCATTTGGTGTTTCAAGTGATAGTTGGTGTCAATGAGAGCAAAAGCGAAAGCAGATAAGTTATGCGGTTATTTTTCCACCTGCTGTTTGGAAAGTCTGCCTCTGTGGGGAATTTATATTCTGCTCTCTTAGCTAAACTGAAAGTTTACTCAGGGTTCCCTGAATGGTTCTGAGATTGCTTGTGCTACAAGAGGCATTTGGTGAAAGATTGGGGAGACAAAAGTAAAGTAGTAGCCAATTTATTTTATGCTTTATGCTTAGAAAGGCGCTGCGGCTCCTCAACCTTTCTGCTTCTATCCTAGCTTACTTTGTTGGTGTGGGGCAGCATCTGGGCCCACACCTGCTCCAGTTCTCCCTCATATCTTCCTTCTTCTTCACCAGCTCCACAAAAAAGAATGCCCACTCTTACGTTAAGGGCATCGATGTCAGTGAAATCGGAGGTTTGAAGGCAGTAAAAGATCAGTATGGGTTCCAGTCAGTCCTTGTGAGCTCCAGATATTCCTAGTGGATTCCATTTACCCTTGCTTCCTCTACTTTGCATTGTCTCTTCTTCCTGATTCCCTGCTGACCTCAGGTTTCAGCATCTGATGCAAAGACAGAAGCCTCGCTGAAACTAATTAACCAGCTTCCACAATTCAGTAAAGCCTGGACCCTATTATAAGTCCCTGCTTATATGTGTATCACTCTCAGAGTGTTTGTTTCTCTGATAGAACCCTGACTGATGCAACCTCCCATGCTTTGGACTGAAGAAATCCCCTGGTTACTTAGACTTGGACATTTGCCATGTGGAGGAATTATAGATCCCTAAAAGGAGAAATTGAACTTGATACACACACACACACACACACACACACACACACTCTTGGTCCCTAAAGGGGGCAATTGAACTTGATACACAAACACATTCCCACAATTCTTTTAGTTTTTTACATGAAGAATTTTTTAGTCACCTTTGCATGACATTTTGACAAAGCTACTCAGTTCTTCCACTATATCCTTTTACTTTTTAGTGTGAAGTAAGTTAAATTTACAGAAAAGTTACGGAAAACAGTTATCATATTCCTTTCATCTGGCTTCCTGTATCATTAATATCTTAACAATAGTGTACTTATCAAAACCAGGAAATTATCAATATTAACTATATGATAGAACTATTTCAAAATTCATCTGTGTCCCCATTAATGATTTTCTTCTTTTCCAGTATCCAACAATATATGTTAATTGTTAAGTCTCCTTAGCCTCTTCTCATCTGTGACTTTTTCTTAGTCTTTTCTTGTCTTCCATGACCTTAACAGTTGTGTAGTGTACTGACCAGGCATTTAGTAAAATACATCGTAATTTGAGTTTTCCTGATGTTTTCTTATGATCAGATTGAGGTTATTCCTTTTTGGCAAGAATACCACATAATTATTGCGTATAGGTTTTTTAGAGATTGTGTGTGTGTGTGTGTGTGTGTGTGTGCGCGCGCGCTGTGTTTTCTTTCCTCTGACACAGACCTCTGAAGCTAATGCCTCATATTTGAGGTTTTTCTTATGGCAGTACCCATTTTCTAGTAACCAATTTTGTGGCAGTCATTAAAGACTACGTTACAAAGACTACAAATTGCATATCTCAGTGCGTTAAACACAAAGGTTTATTTTCTACTAATGCTAAATGTCGATCACAAGTTTGCTGAGGGGCTTTGCTCCTGGTTGCTTCTCAGATGTTTAAGCTGATGAAATATCCACCACTTTCAATATTTCTGGTTATCAATGAACAGAGGAAAAAGAACTTTGGAGCATGTTATAGCAGCAATTAAGTGCTTCAGTCTTGAAGTGATACATCATATTTCTCTCAACTCATGGTTTCAATCTAATCATATGCCCCACTTAACTATGAGGCCACCAGGAAGAGCATTCCTACCATGTGCTTGGAAGCAGGGGACCAGAAATATTTGACAAACAACTTCAATCATGACCACATTTCTACTATGATAGTTTGTATATTTTAAAGTTATTTTACAAAATTATTTTCTGACTGCATTTTATGTATAATTAAAATTTTGAAAAAAGTTAAAAGCATAAAGGACAAACAAGAAAGTATTCCTCATTCAACCTTCAAAAGTTATGCATGAGTGTTTGTGTTTGTTTCCTTGCATCTGCTTTTTCTGTGTGTGTGTGTGTGTGTGTGTGTGTGTGTGTGTGTGTAATCAGGACCACACCAGAAGCAGAGCTATATACTGATAAATTTCACTTATTTTGAAAATCTTATCATTTCAGCACAAATTCTTTGAAATGACTGATTTATGAAATAACTAAATACTACTTCAGTGCATATATGCAGACTTGTTTTACATTTTTCTTTTAAAGACATAGTCAAGTTCAATATTCTATTATAAAACTGTGATAATATAATCTATTAAGATACATTTATTCTGTTTTTCTACTTATTAGCATATCATTTAAAAACTGGACATACTGTCATGAGGTTCTGAGGCTTATAGTGGTAGTTGGTTTATTATTATCATTCCTGATTTACACAGGGATCGTAACTGACAGAGGTCCCCAGCTACTGCCCTCTATCATGATATTGGCACAAATGCCATGCCTTTCATGAGCTGTTCCTAGCCAATGACAATGTGGCAGAGATGCTAAGACAAACCCATTCTGTAAAACACAGGGCTCCTCTGACAGCCCATTTTGACTCGAGGACTGTTGAAATATTCTTAAAACTGTGCCACAGTCTGATACATTTCCTACCCAAATGTATCCTCTTTTCTCTCCTGCACAATGGTTCGACTTGCACCACAGTATGATGACTACTCCAGCTCCCTCAGGATTCCTCCCCATTTTATCCACTAAATATCTTGCCTGTTTAATCCCATCTTGACATCTGCTTCTCAAAAGACAGGAACTGACATTAAGGAAAAGGTTTTATTGCAGAAATTTACAAGGCAAGAGTAGCAAGAGAAGGTGTGAATATTCTGATTTTTTCCACCTTTCCACAAGGAGCCATGCCATGGTCAGTCAAGTGGAGGGACACTTCCTGTTTCCTACTTTCCCGTGTTAGGGGTCAACTGTGAGAACAAATTCATCACTGTGGGAACAAAATGTTGTGGTACCGGGATATCAGGGTTGTCTGGGGAAGCCAGCTGCCCTGCCTTTGGAAACACTGCAGTTTATGATATGTGTGTAGCCCTGCTCTCAATAGTAGGAAGTCATCCATCCTTGGAGAAGTTAAGTAAAAGTACACCTCCTCTCCCTGGAAGTAGGGGGTGCTCTAGGTCTCAGCCAGCTAATTGCTTGGCAAACTGAAATGAGTTCCCAGGATCATACTTGGCCATTTTTGCTTATTGCTTGGCCCCACTTAAAAATGTTAATTACTATTAGTTCAAGTTACTATTTTCATGCTAAAGAGATGTCGTTATATTCACATTATATTTAAAAAAATTATAACAGTAAGATGATTTTTCATTCCTGAAGTAGCCCTAATCTTTTTTCTCAGCAGATATGTCACAATGAATGACTGAGTTTGTTTTCAGGAAATCAGGTATTCTGATTTAAATATACTTGAGATTGGACAATTATGGAAACATGGTTGCATGGAGATGTGTGTATATGTGTGTGCACATGGGCTCCTGTGTGTCTGTTACCTTTGCCAATTACTGATAATTGTGATTGCCTTATTGTGCTCCATTCGAAAACAAATTGCTTGGCTTTCCATTATATTATATGTGATTAACAATTTGTTTAGCATGGAAATTATATCAGAAAAACAACACAACACCTTTACTGAGAACTTTTTTGAGAATCCTGATACAGTTTTTACATTCCTCCATGTTAGTTAATTGGTTCAGGTTTTGTATACTTACATCATTTTAGATAATTTTTATTCTCCATTCATTTTATATTTTTTCAGATAGATGTAATGGATTTATTATTCCTCTATATTTTTAAACAACTCTCAAGTTTTTCTTTTTTATGCTTCAATTTATATTTTTCAATGTTTTTGTTCTTTCTTTTTTCTTTTTCTTTTTCTTTTTTTTTTTTAGAGAGAGTCTAGCTCTGTCACCAGACTTGAGTGTAGTGGCATGTTCTGGGCTCACAGGAAGCTTCACCTCCTGAGTTCAAGTGATTCTCCTGCCTCAGCCTCCCGAGTAGCTGGGATTATGGGCACCGACCACCATGCTCAGCTAATTTTTATATTTTTAGTAGAGACAGGGTTTCACCAGGTTGGCCAGGATGGTCTCGAACTCCAGACTTCGGTATCTGCCCGCCTCAGCCTCCCAAAGTGCTGGGATTACAGACGTGAGCCACCACGCCCAGACTTGTCAATGTTTTCTATCATTATTTAATTTGCCAAAATTACATGCATTAAACACTTTAAAGAAAACAAGTATTCTATACCTCATTTGCCATTTCATGTATGAACTACTGTTAAAAACTAGTATTCTATTTACCGTATTATAATAGATTTTCCATATTATAATTTATGATTTTATGCTTCAAATTATCTGATTTTTTGATGGTTTTCTTGTTTTTTTTTCTAAAATTGTTGTCTAATTAAATAATTTTTTAATAAGGAACATATTCAAACCTATGATTCTTCTTTCAATGAATATTGCTTTGATCACATTTCTTATCTTTTAATCAGTAATATGCTTACTATTTTCTGAATTTTCTGTAGTTATATTTGTCCTATGCTTTTCCAATTTACATATTTTAGGTATTAAAAATAATGCATGTTTGTTTTAACAACTAAAGTAATACAACGTTTAGAAATAAATGTTGATACCTTCTCTATCCACAGATTACCAATGTTAATCAGTTTGTTCGGTATCCATTTGCAACTTTTTCTTCTAATAGTCACTATTAGCTACCCTGTGGCTGTTAATGTTCATGTTCCTGGAAGATCCTTTCAAATCTCTTTTTGTACCATCTACTTTTTCCTTTCCAAGCATCAGTACTAATGTACAGCTCTCTAGTTCTCAAGCTGCCGAAGCTGCTTTCACCCACAGGTGCAGAGATTTTAAAGCATCTGGGACATCTGGGAGTTGATATGCTCATCCCTCCCAGTGGGGCCTTTAACCAATGACTGAACAGTCTAGGAGTATGAAAGTTCACTCCCGTGACTGGTGTAAGGATAACTCGGGCATAACTCACTCTCCAGAGTTCCCCAGGAGGATTGTGCAGAAGCTATCCTTAGAGGGTTGTTCACCCGAGATTTCATTCTTCCTTGTTGTCCGCTGTCTTTCCTTGGATCACTTTCTTACATTAATCAGACATACATCCTCATCTGAGAACCTATGTCTAGCTTAAGATACACCTATAGTACAGACGTCACTATCATGCCAAAATATTGCCTTCTGGTGGCAGGGCTAAGAGTATCAGAGTTCTTTGCATTCACGGCGTGACCGTTCTAATGAGAACATTTTCCAAAGTGCAGCAAGTTTCAATCTTCAAAAAACCACAGCGACTTACAGTGTAAGACCTCATGGCACTGGGGCTCTGGGGCTGGAAAAATGAGAGCAGTCTGGATGCATGCCGCTAAGAGAGGAGCAGGTAAGAAGCCTTCTGAACCTCACGGGCTCCCATACTGACGTGATTAGTTTGTCGCCCTCCTTTGCCGGTCAGAGACGAGCAGGTAAGACGCTTTCTGAACCTCACAGGCTCCCATACTGACGTCATTATTTTGTCGCCCTCATTAGCCAATCAGGTTAGGGTCTCTTTGCCGCTCAACTACGGCTTTCTGCCACCATCCGTCCTCAGCGTAGGCCAGCTCTCTTCTCTGAGCTTTCAGGCGTTTGCTTTTCTAGAACAGCTAGAGCAAACATTGTTCAAAATGTCCCACCAAGAGGGCAACACAGATGGTTTACCAGACTTAGGGACTGAAAGCCTGTTCAGTCCAGAGGGGCAGTCCGGAGCGGCGGCAGTGACGGAGGCGTCTTCAGACACAGAAATGGCGGCAGCAGAGCCATCCACCAGAGCTGGTGGCGATAGCAGGGATGGTGGTTTCCTGAACGATGCCAGCACAGAAAATCGAAGCACTGACAGAGAAGGTTCAGGTGAAGACATGGAACTTGAGAGCGTGGCAGACTTTGACGGTTTCCTCATGCTTGGTGGAAGCATATTTTATTACCCTTTACTGGGAGAGGAAGAAAGAGAAGGGGAGGAGGAAGGAGAGGAGAGAACGGAGGAAGGGGAGGAGGAAGAGGAACAGCCTCAGGTGTGCCCACGATTCGATGGTGCCAGCCATGAGCAGTGTTTGTTAGAGGTGGATAGGGTGCTGGAGGATTGGATTTCCGCAGAGACATCTGCCCTGCCTCGACCTCGCTGGCAGGTCGTTACTGCTCTTCGCCAGCGGCAGCTGGGTTCAAGTACCCGCTTTGTCTATGAGGCCTGTGGGGCAAGAGCCTTTGTGCAGCGTTTCCGCCTGCAATATCGTCTTGAAGGCCATTTCAGTTCTATCGGTACTGTATGCTTTAACCAGCGTGGTACCCGGCTGGCCGCTAGTGGTGGTAACCTAAACGTGACAGTGTGGGACTGGGTGCGGCAGCAGCCAGTACTGAACTTTGAGAGTGGTCACGAAATTAACGTCACCCACGCTAAGTTCCTTCCTAACTGTGATGATTCCACACTGGCCACGTGTGGCCGTGATGGGCAGGTACGGGTAGCAGACCTAATTAGTGCGTCATATTGCAAGAATACTAAGCATGTGGTACAGCACAGGAGAGCTGCCCACGAGTTGGCTGTGGAACCAGACTCTCCTTTTAAGTTCCTGACTTCAGGTGAAGATGCCGTTGTCTTCACCATTGACCTCAGACAAAGCCGACCGGCTTCAAAATTTGTGGTAACAAGAGAAATGGGGAAGAGAGTGGGACTGTATACAATCTCTGTGAGTCCTGCCAATACCTACCAATTTGCAGTGGCCGGAGAAGATCAGTTTGTCAGGATTTATGACCAGAGGAGAATTGATGAGAATGAAAACAATGGAGTACTTAAGAAATTCTCTCCTCATCATCTGGTGGATTGTGATGTCTCAACAAACATCACCAGCATTGTGTACAGCCATGATGGCACAGAGCTCCTGGCCAGCTACAGTGATGAAGACATTTACATCTTCTACCCCTCTGACAGTGATGGTGCTGAATATGTTAAGAGATTTAAGGGACACAGAAATAATGACACAATCAAAGATGTTAAATATTATGGCCCCAGGAGTGAGTTTGTCGTGAGCGGTAGTGATTGTGGGCACATCTTCTTCTGGGAGAAATCATCTTGCCAGATCATCCAGTACATGGAGGGGGACAGAGGAGGTATAGTAAACTGTCTTGAACCCCACCCTTACCTACCTATGTTGGTGACCAGTGGCCTAGATCGTGATGTCAAGATCTGGACACCCACAGCTGAAGCTGCCACTGAGCTTACTGGGTTAAAAGATGTGATTAAGAGGAACAAGAAGGAACGAGATTTAGATAGCTTGCACCATACTGGCATGTTTGACAGCTATACGCTCGGGCTTCTCGTGCAACAGATGTCACAGAGAGGTCATGACCCTGGCTGGAGAGATCACACAGCTGAGTTCCCAGATGAAGAGTTGGATGAGGCTTCCAGCAACTCAGATACATCTGAGGAGGAGGGCCAAGATCAAGGGGAGTGCTTGCCATCTTGAAGGCCTCATATCCAGTCCAGCTAGGTGCCACTTAAGTACACTGGACTTGAAAATTCAGTTTGACTAATTTAGAATTGTCAATAGATTAATAGATTTGCTTGTTGTCTTCTAGTTTTCCAAATATATGCTAAAAACCATCTCTTCCATCTTCTTCCTTACTTTCCTTTCTTCCTTCCACACATTCTTTGCCTCTCATTCCTTTCGTCTGTTTCGTTACCCGTTGCCCCTTATATGAGTGCATACGCAACTGATTTATGCCTCTTTTTCTTATAGTTGACCTCTAAAATTTCCTAATTTTGTTGAAAAAGTTAATGGCCTTTTTAATGTATCTACTCATTTCTAACATTCTGAAAACTATTACATTTTTACTTTTTTCATCTTTTAACAGTTTATTTTGAAGTCTAAGTTCTTCAGTTGACTTGAAAGGTTCATAAATGTGTTTATTCTTTAGGGGTAAAATAAAGCAAACCATAGTTCTGTTCTTTGAATACTGACACTTGGCCACACACATACACATGCAAACACACACACACACACACACAAACACAAACACACACACAGTCTCAGAAAAGGAAAGACAAGTAGCATTTAGATTTATTGCTAACACACACACACACATGCAGCCTCAGAAAAGGAAAACAAGAGTAGTGTGTAGATGAATTCCTACCCAGGTAATTCATCCCCTCAGAGCAAATAACTTGGGATTATCTGCATTTTCTGAATCCATACGTTAATCATATTGGTGAATTTTAGTACACTGAAGGTGGTAAGAACTAAGTTGAATTTAATCACATGACATTGTTTACTCTGCACATTAAATTTTCCTGAAATTGTATGGTTCGGAACTCCCACAGCATTGCATTCCAGGAAGTCGTCCTGGGAAAAACATCTCCTATAAGATGCTAGCTAGGAATACAAACATCTCTCATATTTGGAAAAATATATTTTAATTAACTTTTAAGAATAAGTTGCAATAAAAATTGTTTATACATGCATATAACCATTTGATATAGCTTTTAGAAAAATTGTATTTGACATCCAGGTAGTACTTAAAATCAGCTGTTTTGAGTTTTAAATTGTTTTAAAAATTGTTGCAATAAAAACTGTTTTATACTTATATATAAACATTTGATATAGTTGTTAGAAAAATCCTCTTTGACATCCATACATTGTTTAAAGTTCTCTGAGTTGTTTTATGAGTTTAAATTGTTTTAAGAATTGCTTTAAGCTTTACTTAAAATTTGACATCCTTGCATTGTTTAAAGTTCTCTGAGATGTTTTATGAGTTTAAATTGATTTAAAAATTGTTTTAAGCTTTACTGAAAATAAATTTGAGTTACTAGATATCCAGTTACTGTTCAATAAAAATATTTGTTTTTATTTTATAGCTCTTATTTGTGTAAATGAATTCAGAAGATTGTGTTTTCCCTAACACCCATGAACTATACCACACCATTCTTCTTCTTTTTTTTTTTTTTTTTTGAGACGGAGTCTGACTTGGCTGCCCAGGCTGGAGATCAGTGGAACAGTCTTGGCTTACTCTGCCTCCTGGGTTCAAGCAATTCTGCCTTAGCCTCCCAAGTGGCTGGGACGACAGGTGTGTGCCACCATGTCCGGCTATTGTTTGTATTTTTAGTAGACACAGTGTTTCACCATGTGGGCCAGGTTGGTCTCAATCTCCTCACCTCAGGTGATCTGCCCACCTCAGCCTCCCAAAGTACTGGGATTACAGGCATGAGCCAATGCACCCAGCCTGTACTGCACCATTATTTCCTGTTTTGTCTTGGAAAAGAAGGGTGTAATGAAACATCCTATGTCCTGGCAATGGCTTTTCTTTGGTAATACTTCTTGAGGTGTATATTATCTCTCTTTTTTTTTGGAAAATGTAGAGTAATTTGCATAATGAGATTAGAATTCAGAATGGAATATAACGAATGAAGTTCCTGCTAACTGAGATCCAAAGCTAGGGACAACTGTCCTCTGGTCTGGGAGCCTCAAGACGCCCCTACCAAGCTCTCCTGTCAGGAAAGGGTCTTAAAGAGTCCCAAAAGAGAACTTACGGGCCATGAGAAGAGAGTTATAAAGTTCAATTCCAAGCTTGGGGCCCCGTGTATAACTTTATGGGATGTATACCAGCAATAATATTAACAAAACATTAAACAAAACATCATTTGGTGTTTCAAGTGACAGTTGGTGTCAATGAGAGCAAAAGTGAAAGCAGTTAAGTTATGCGGTTATTTTTCCACCTGCTGTTTGGAAGGTCTGCCTCTGTGGGGAATTTATATTCTGCTCTCTTAGCTTAACTGAAAGTTTACTCAGGGTTCCCTGAATGGTTCTGAGATTGCTTGTGCTACAAGAGGCATTTGGTGAAAGATTGGGGAGACAAAAGTAAAGTAGTAGCCACATTTATTTTATGCTTTATGCTTAGAAAGGCGCTGCTGCAGCTCATCAACCTTTTTGCTTATATCCTGGCTTACCTTGTTGGTGTGGGGCAGCATCTGGGCCCACACCTGCTCCAGTTCTCCCTCATATCTTCCTTCTTCACCAGCTCCATAGAAAAAGAATGCCAGCTTTTAAGTTAAGGGCATTGATGTCATTGAAATCGGAGGTTTGAAGGCAGAAAAAGATCAGTATGGGTTCCAGTCAGTCCTTGTGAGCTCCAGATATTCCCCATGGATTCCATTTACCCTTGCTTCCTGTACTTTGCATCGTCTCTTCTTCCTGATTCCCTGCTGACCTCAGGTTTCCGCATCTGATTTAGAGACAAAAGTCTCGCTGAAACTAATTAACGAGCTTCCACAGTTCAATAAAGCCTGGACCCTATTATAAGTCCCTGCTTATATGTGTATCACTCTCAGAGTGTTTGCTTCTCTGATAGAACCCTGACTGATGCAACCTCCCATGCTTTGGACTGAAGAAATCCCCTGGTTACTTAGACTTGGACATTTGCCATGTGGAGGAATTATAGATCCCTAAAAGGAGAAATTGAACTTGATACACACACACACACACAGACACACACACACACACACACACACACACTCTCTCTCTCTCTCTCTCTCTCTCTCTCTCTCTCTCTCTCTAGGTCCCTAAAGGGAGCAATTGAACTTGATACACAAAGACACACACACAATTGTTTTCGATTTTTACATGAAGAATTTTTTACTCACCTTTGCATGACATTTTGACAAAGCTACTCAGTTCTTCCACTATATCCTTTTACTTTTTAGTCTGAAGTAGTTAAAGTTACAGAAAACTTACAGAAAATAGTTATCATATTCCTTTCATCTGGCTTCCTGTATTATTAACATCTTAACAATAGTGTAATTATCAAAACCAGGAAATTAACAATATTAACTATATTATAGAACTAATTCAAATTTCATCTGTGTCCCAGATGAAATGTTTTTCTTCTT